AGAGCATGCGCGCTGGAGTTTCTCAAATGATCATGAAGGTCCGAGTGCATTCGAGATGCCCTCTTTTTAGTATTTAAGCCTGGTGAGAAAAACCAGCGCGATTGAATAGATAGGTAGATAATTGAGTCAAGCAAACAGTAGGCACCGTAAGTAAAGTGCGTGAATCACTGTAATTTATAGCGTGTGTTGTAAAAGTTGTTAAGTTTATAGTGACTGTGGAAATTCTTTGTATTACTAAAAGTTGTATCGAGAAAGAATAAACTAGTTTTAATCAAGAAGGGACTTGTATCCCTGAAGAATTTATACCGAAAATTAACAAATAAGCAGATATGTAACAACATGTTGTAAATCACTTGGGGAAAGTGCAACTCATGTTAGGCTATCGAATTACATTACCCACGAGCTACTTACCTCAAGGTGCTCGTGTGCTTTCCTCGTCAAAGTATATTCACTTATTTTACCTAATCTAACCTTAACTAACCTAAAGAGTTTCCTATTTTTGCATTTTAGTTACTTTTATAATAATAAATAATACAAATGAAAAACAAATAAAGTACTTACCTGGATTTTTTTTTTTATGCTGTCAGCTGTTGATATCACTTAACCCTACTTTTTTATACTAATGGTATTAGTGCACTAAATTTTTATTTAATTAAATATTGCACCAATGAACATAGAATAATAACATGTAAAAAGCATACAATGTCCCTTAACTGTCACAATTGTTTTGGCATTCTAACTATGCGACAAGATCCGTTACAAATTCAGCTAGTCAACTGGTTACTAGTCAATGTGTTTCCCGAAGGAACGAAGTTTGTACTGAAAGAGAAATTAACGTTTTTCTGTACAGAAAACAACGTAATATAATACGTCATTTGATACATGTAAACTTGACTTTCTTTTGGTTAAAAATAATATAGTATTAAATGTAAGACAGTAAGTACTATTGACAAATCCGGTAAGAGAGGATGTGACAGGTTGGTGTGGTAAACAGGGTCCGATTTTTTATTTGATGGCACTGTAACCAAACAAAATTGAAGGCTAAGAAAGCTATGCTTCATCTGAGCGATGACAACATTATAGACAGTAATTTACGTTAAATTTCGTATTTATTGAAGGGGTGGTAAATAAATTAGAGAAGAGGGGATGCCTAGAGAAAAAATGTCACATTTTTAACACTAAGATAAATTCAGGATCTTCTTTTTCTTCATAAAATTAAGAACTTATATACTGTTAAAATATGTATGATTAGCTATGATTTTATGCTATACTAATTGGTGTGTTATGAACAAACAAAAAGTAGTATAATTAAATTTTGAATGTAACTCACTAAAAACTTCGTGACATGCACAGTAAAGGATGCCCATGGCAGGCATTTTCTTCTTCAAAAAACAAAGGAGACCACGTTGGGGAAGAGAATTACGAGGTCTCGCCAAAAATAAAGTACATTAATTTGAAGAACCATATGTGGCAACCTTGTTCGATTACAATATTTTGAAGTTACTTCTTATTCTGATTAATTGATTGTTACATTATTTTGTGACAGCTGAGGTGTTTGGTATTTCTTGCAATTCTGAAGTTTTACTATATATATATATATACCTGGAACTATTTTTGTTCATGAAATGTCATATATGGAACAACCAAGTATTAGAATTTGAAGCTGGATAAAAGTGTTATTAGAATAAAAAATACATCATTTACCTATTTTTCATTGGTGGATGTCTTTACAAAGAGTTAAGACATATAGTGCTGGATTTTGTTGCTATAATGTGTTAGGTTATGAAAATTAAAAAGATGCTAAGTAATATTTGATTATTGCTAATCAAATTCAATATTGATTAACAGTTTCTGCTAATCAAATCCACTAAACTGTGTTATCCCTGCCAGCTGCAAGTTCTAAGAGTTGTGTGTACCGAGATGGTGTTTGACTTGGCAAGTAATGGGACCATCTTGAACACACCTTTGGCTGGTTAAATAATGACTGTCTTAAAGCCTTCTTTGCTGACTTAAGTATTGAAACCATCTGTAAAACATCTTTGTTGGGGTTTTCAAGTAATGAAATACTTCTGAAACCTCCGTGTATGCTATATCTAGCTACCAAGGTCTTTATCTGGCATCCCGTAACAATGTCTGTTCAAATTCTTGGTTGATATTTTAATTTCAGATCCTGTTAGTCCTTTTGTATCATGATAACTGATCAGTTGTGAACATGACATCAGTAACTTTTGACAGAATTGTATATGTGTTTACTAAACTCTTAGTTTAAAAACAGACTAAATTTTGAAAGACAAGTTGTATTTTATTTCTTTATCCTTTGGAATTAACATAATTCCAAGCTTAACCTTTTTTATGATAATAGTAACCACAGTAACATGGTTATGGCATTTTGGAAAAAGAAAAACATGACATTCAAAATATATCTCCTTTACATAATTCATCAAGAACTGTTTTAGAAAATGGAAATTTAAAAAAATGTAATCTCTAGAATTAAATTTTATTTTGTTCACTCCCTTGTAGCGATGGCAGAGACGCTGGTTTGTTTTGTATGATGATGGAGAGTTGACTTACTCCATAGATGAACATGTAAGCATGACATCTATAATTTTTGCAATAAAAGAATCAAATATAACAAATATTAATTTTAGTGTGAAATAATAGGCCCTTATGCTCATGTTATTGTAGTTGTATTTGCATTGTAAACTGTTTATAAATCTAATTAATATATAGCAAACAATACATTGATAATTAGATAAATTCAACAATATCAAGGTTAATATTATATCCAAGTGCATTCAGTGTTAGAGGTTTATATTTTTCTTTTAATATGTTTTAATTGGAGAAAAATATTTTCTTTTTCTTTAGTGTAAATGTGTTGAGAAAGTTTATTGGATACACTTAAAAACATAAAGGGAAAATAGATAATATACAACTCTTGGTTCTAAATTTTTATATCCTTTGTGTCTTTATGGCCAAACACAGAAGGATATTGAGATATTTCCTTTTGGAGTCAGTGGCTGTTTCATAGGTAAGCTTCAGGTGCTAGAGAATGGGAGAGGATTTGTTTTTTAATAATTTCAATAAATTTGGGCCTGTGATTTTAAAAGTGATGCTTCATGACCTTTGTTTGTATTTAAGTTTTATTTTTTGAATTATAAAGTTTTAATTATCTTTCGTTACATACAATTTTGGAGAACTTGATCATAGTTTAATAAATTTTAGTGACTTGTAACACTGACTGTATCTGAAAGTGCACGGATTAACCCTTAATGAAATATTTGTACATTGCCAGTATGGTAATGGAAGAAATTGTTCTAAATGTAGTGTTTTAGTTCAAATGGAATAAGGTAGTTAAAAAATAAATCAAATAAGAGTCATACAAGTATATTTGTGTGATTTAGTGAAGAAAAATACAAAATTATTATTTTCTAGCCTGACACCGTTCCTCAAGGTGTTATAGACATGAATAAAGTTCTTGAAGTTAGTGATGCTGAACCTATCACAGGAAACTCCTTTTCTCTCGCTATAACGGCACCCGAAAGGGTTCATTTCATTAAAGGAACAAGTAGGGAAGAGTTGAATTGGTAAGTTGGTTTTGGTTAATTATAATGGCTGTTAATCATTTTTTAAAAACCTTTTACACGTGAGATTATTTTTTATTTTGAGGAAGGAAGCTGTAAACATTTGTTTTTATTTTGTATCTCTAGTTTTTCTTTTTCAAGTAACCTTTCTTGTGGTGGGAAAGAATGAAATAAAAATTCTGTTGCTTAAAAAAAACTAGAAATTATCAATCTTTTCCACTTTATTCTTTTATGTAATAAATGAGCTGAAGTTTAGTTCTAAATGTTTAAACTTATTAGGTTTCAGAATGCTAAATATATAAACATTTGTCTCTGTTCTTTGTCTCTTGGGAAGTACTAGATTTGTTTGTCTGTCTGTTGGGAAGTATTAGATGAATATTTCAATCAACACAAGCTACATATTTAGTGTGGAACTAAAAATTAACCTTGAAATCTGTATGGCTAATGAAATAGTTTTTCACATTTTTACTTTTAAAGATTAGAATTCACTTTGTTTTATCAAAGAAAACTCATTAAGCCACTTCTGCTGTCTATTGTTAGAGCACTGTGACAAATTTATGATGACATGCTACTATTTTAATTGTATAAAGTTAGGAGCAGTGATTTTTCCTATACTATAACTAAAACCTAATAAATAAAATAATACATGAGCCATCCATAAAAATACAATAGGGAATCTTCAGTAGCTGCAGCAATTGAAATTCTTTTAGGCAGGATTAGAGGAAATTAATCTGAGAAGAATATACATTGGGTTTTTCCAAGTTTTAAATAAATTAGAACAGATAAAGATTGAATAATTCTATGTTTGAATATAAGTTTTGTATCGTACCTTTTATAATCAGTTATATTTATT